TTCAAAAAGGCAAAGAAAATCCTGTTTTCCATGATATGTCTTTTATTGTAACTTTTTAATGACGTTTTCTCAGTCATGCAAGCATAATGCTGTAAGTGGCTCTTCTAAGTGCGGACCATCACTTGGCCGTACTCTGATGTGCTTCATGGGAAATTCATAAAATTGTTCCAGTGCTTGCTGATTGGAGTGCATTGCTCAGCCTTTCAGATCCAGCAGGCAACTGATGAGGCTTCCATCTTTGTGACTGAACAGAATGGTGATTAGTGGTGTTTCCTCAGGCACTGAGGCTCCGCTAAACGCAGACATACTACAGCATGGCACCACTAATGTTAACCAAGTCTTGAACTGATGCTCCAGTGATGAGCCACATTTCAAACCGGCGGGAGATGAGAGGGCAGATTCTCAGAAATGCGTCTGATGTGGATGAGGATTGCATGCTGCATCTTCCGGAACATCAGAGCCTCTGCAATCCAGATGAACAATTAGACAAATTAGAGAGCAAGAGAAAGAGAAGTGTGCATTATATGAGTTTGTGGCACAAATATACATGCGTTTGTTACTAATTAGTAAATCACGTACTGCGTGCAATATGATAAACAAGTGTCAACTAAAAATGCAAAAAGCTTCAAGCAAATTAATTAATGAACATATTTTGTTAGGTATCGAAATTTATAAGCGATGTATGTTGGAAACAGTTTTCGCTGCTTAACATTTTTGTGGAAACCGTGATACACTACCATTAAAAGTCGTTTGGGGTAAGTGAGATTAAAAAAAGAAAGAAAGAAAAAAATGTACTCTTTTATTCAGCAGGGATACATTACATTGATCAAAAGTTGCATTAAAGACATTTATGTATTTCTTTTTCAAATAAATGCTGTTATTTTTTAACTTTCTATTCATCAAGAATCCTGATAAAATGTGATAGTTTCCACAAAATATAAACATTTTAATAATTTTTCATTATATTAAATTAGAAAAGCTATGTTAAATTGTAACACTTCTTACTTTTTCCATATATATGTGTATCTCTGTGTGCGTTTATGTATATATAACTGTGTGATTTTATTTAATGTTTTTAAAATAAGTTTATTTTGCTCTCGATTGCTATCAATTTGATAATAAATACAGTTATCATATTATATAAATTATTATTCATTGTGAATATGCACAACATTTAAAATATATTAAATCAGAAAAGTTGTTAAATTGTAACACATTTTCCACAATATTTGTTCTTACTGTATCTATCTGTGTGTATGTGTACCTGTGTATATATATATATATATATATATATATATATATATATATAAATGCTGTTATTTTTTAACTTTCTGTTCATCAAGAATCCTGATAAAATGTGATAGTTTCCACAAAATATAAACATTTTAATAATTTTTCATTATATTAAATTAGAAAAGCTATGTTAAATTGTAACACTTCTTACTTTTTCCATATATATGTGTATCTCTGTGTGCGTTTATGTATATGTGTGTGTGTGATTTTATTTAATGTTTTTAAAATGTCTATTTTGCTTTCCAAGGCTTTCTATTTGATCATAAATACTGTACAGTTATCATATTATATAAATTATCATTCATTGTAAATATGCACATTGCATCAACTGGTTGATTGATTGATTGATTGATTGGAAGTATGCTAGTATTACTGTAAAGGAGATATAGATGATCTTAAAGCTAATAGATATTAAGAAGAAAACTGAGGTATTCAATAAAATCTAAGTCTTTTCACTTGTATGCCACTGACTGTGTGATGTTTTTCTGTTTGAGTGAATGTAGTACAAATATGTTGAAAGCTGAGCGGCTGTTGTACATATTTATTCCGTTTTTTTCAAAAGAGCATGTTGCTGTTTTTTTACAGGGTGACCCGATGGTTCCTCGCGCTCCAGGACTTCCACTTCGAGGTACGTCATCGGGCTGGAGCCGCGAACGCCAACGCGGATGGCTTCTCTCGGATCTGGGCAGCTTTTGCAGGTCTGTCAAGGGTCACTCCCCACCCACCCCCTATCTCTCCCCTACTATCTCATATCGTTAACAGG